ATTAGTGGTCTAGCACTTACATTGAAAAGTGTGAAGGCAAGTGGAAAGCAAACAACAGAAAGTTTATCGACGCTTTCCGGTTGCAAATGCAGTCGACGACGTTTCCGCCGAACGATGGGACTTGGACGACGATTTATTATCTAAAATAGACGAATCCTTTATTGATGTAATCATTTTTCAATTCATTCTTCCAGTTGATTCGTAATTCTACACGAACGAATGTTCCACAGATCCTATTAGAAGGTATCGAAACCTCGGACGAATTTTTGAAAATAGGTGGATATGAATTGGAAAATCCGAAAAATTGGAAATGTGCTGAGATATGTTCGATACTGACGCATATAGCGAATACATTGTTTGACTGAGAAACAGTGAACACCTGGTCATATGGAGGTGACGTGCTGGAGTTAATGAGTGGAGTGTGATCGTGGTGATTCGTGTACGCATCGCTATTGGTATTAAGAACATCATTAGGTGGGATATTGCTGTAAGAGGCATTGTTGTTGTAGAAATTGTTGCATCGATTCACTTGTGTCGTCAATGCAGTGATCGGTGGTGAGGGACTGTCGCGCAGGATTGACGCTTGAAATGGACCGTTCCTTGGTGCTTGATGAGCGGACACCATGCGATCTCTTGGCACTTCACCATAGCATGATGATCCTGAGTGAGGTGGAAAGTTAGTTGGAAATTCTTTTTGCTAAAGCTGACAGTTAGCTGACAATGAGATAGCAATGCGAAAGTTTTTCACTGCTATGCTCTTCATAATGCACTGAGATCAGCCACTCACATACTCGGTCAGTTTGACTCAGTGCGTTCGAAATCCATGGATCAAAAAATTTATCAATTCGCTGTCTTGAATAGTAATGTCGTTATTCCAGTTAAACTACTCTATTCCTGTTCCATTCCAAGAAATGGAATAGAACAGTCCACAAGCGAGGAACGCACAGAATACGATAGAACAGGCTCATTTTGGAGTGGAATAGAACAGAATAGAACAGTTTCAAAAAAGGTGGTATAGAGACATCACTAGTCTTAAAACAGCTCTATTTCCAGCTGAGAGAAAGCTTGGAATTGCAAATATGTTGGTTTTTGATGTATATTAAGACGCAAGCGTCATGAATGAGCATCACATGGAACCTCAGCAAATGTGATTATACGAGTTCAGTGCATCACAGTGTTTTAGCACCGCTAATATAACCGAACAGCTAGCTCATCAAATTTTCGAATTCAATTAATCAGTATACCTCTAATTCTATCAGCTCTGTACAATCCATTAGTGGTTGAATAGTTCTGATTTCGATGCATTCCATACGTTTCACTTCGCCGCTCACTTGATCGTCGTTCACTTGATCGTCGTTCACTTGATCGTCGCTCACTAAGATTTTGACATCGGCTAATGTAACAAACAAATGCCAACTCAAGCATTGTTCCGAACACGAAAGATATACATCCTACAAATTTGGTGTCAAGCAAATGTTGATTATATAAGTGTATGAATATATGAATCCAGAATTCCATGAACCAATGAGCTGATTTTCGATCAATCGATGAAAAGAAATTTAAGATAAAGATCAAGATGATTTCCTGA